GTCACTTTTTGTCATCAGTTACGTTTTTCTAACAAAATCCACTTATTTTTTTTTTCGAAAATACTCAATTTACAGTTTTTCTTTCGTTACTGTTTTATTATATGTATATATACTATCAGGTTTTACCGTCTCGTTTGTCACCCAATGCTATAAAAAAAGACAAGATGAGCCAACAAAGTAATTAGCTTTAAAGCAATTATTTATTTTGCCTTTTGTTAGAAATGACAAAAAGTCAATAAAAACGTGATTTCCGTGATTGAAACGTGAGTTTTTGAGCAAGGGAAGATATAAATTCAAATGAGTATATTCAAGATATATTCGAAGTCTTATTTTGGCATGTCACACGATCTTTTCCGTGTTGGCTGGACTTAACATTCACACGTTTATGTGGGACTTATAACAAAAAAGTATGCGACAATACTTGCCTAGTATTTTATTATGTGCTAGTATGTCGTAAGGTGCGACTAATGGAATATTGGGTTTGTGACTACGTAGGTTCTAGGCGATGCACTAGCCACCCTGAAGAATTGATTCTTTCTCAATTTTTCCTCTAAACTCATATTTTTGAAAAAGAAAATAAGAACCGTCTATGTAGATAATAAGATATAGATTTAAGTACAATCATCATTTAAGTACAATCATCAATCATTTCAGTACAATCATCGTGTAGTGGCACTGTAAGAATATCCACTACCCCATACAATCATGTGGGTGAGGCAGAAGGGAAAATGTCAGGAAATATGCTGCAGCTTCTTCATAATAACCACTAAAATAAAAAGCTGTCGTTGTCAGCGTTGCAACTATGGCAGCACAGCCCAGCAGTGGACTTTAATAGGCTGTAACACTAAGTACAATTATCCATAATGTCACTTTAAGTTTCAGTACCTCGATTCAGTACAAGTTCGTTGTACTGAATCGAGGTACTGAAACACTTGCAGAATAATTTTAGAAAAGACGTAGATACTTTTGCTGACAAAAAAAAAATAAGTAGGCTAACAATTCGACTGAAAACTTTTTTGTATGTATGATACGAAAATATTTGTCAATTTTGAACCAATTTTGATAATTCTTATTTATTTAAATGGTGTATAGGTATTTGAGGAGTAGTTCCATATAAAATTGGAAAGTAATTTCCCCTCTAAGAGTTGCGAAATAGAAGTTGAAGTTTTTATGTAACTATTAAGACGTCATTGAGATTTTGGTATTCCTTATTCCACTCAAAATGTGGCATCACTTTGTATTCCACACAAATTAACTGACTTAACAAATGACTAACATCTTATCATAAGTTTGTTTTTGGCAGGTTGCAAATTACTACCTTCTACTCTACTTCCAGAATTTGGACTCCATTATAATACTCCTGAACGTTATTTAACAAAGTAGCACATACTTCTATACATACAAATAAACACAATTGAGGAGTCTGTTTGTAATGTGAAAATAACAGTTTTTAACTGAATGCATATGCAAGTATATACGGTACTTATTAACAAAAATACAAGTTTTTAAATTTTTGTCTGTCTGTTTGTTCCGGTTAATCTCCGAAATGGTTGGACCGATTTTGTATGGGACTGTTACTGGTAGATAGCTGATGTTATAAAGAGTAACTATGGCTACTTTTAATTTAGAAAAAGAATTAGGGTAAAAAATTAAAACCCGAAATTACACGCGGCGAAGTCGCGGGAAACAACTAGTTATCAATAAAAACTTCACTTTACAAAGTTCATTGCACTAGGAACTAAAGTTAAAATAAGTAAAATATAATCTTAAGATACGTCCAATTTTTATAAATATTAATAGTTTTAAAATTCATTTAACTTAGTACTTACTTACTTACTTACTTATATTGGATATAGTGCGTATGAAAATGGGAAACACGATGTAATTAAATTATAAAAGAATAAAACCTATTTAAATTATCATTGTCTTAATATATAAGGATTTATGATTATTAGTTAAGATTCTATGGCCGGATTGTAGAATATCTTTATCCGCCATGTGAAAATTCAGTAATGTTTCATCTCGAAGTGTAGGGTGGCAATTTGGAATGTATAGTGATGGACAAAATAAAACAAAATAAATATATTTATTTAAAAAAATTGACAAGTAATGTATTGAAAGACGACCAAAACTGTATAATTTGAATAATTTTCGTAAATATATTTTATAAAAGTAACGATTTTCTATAAAAATACAGCCTGCTGACAACTGAATACGATGTATTCGAAACAATAAACAACCCCGTAGTGGTAGTGTAGAAATTAAGAATATCCTCTACCCTATAGCATCCCGAAGGTGTCGTAAAAGGTGGCAGAGGGAACCAAATCAGGAGATGGGCAGCAAGGTCTTTCTAATAACGTTGCCAATCCGGTTGCCAAGTGTGGCAACAACGGCAAATATCCCAGGGGCCTATGTTCAGCAGTGGACTTTATTGGACTGTAACGGTAAAAAAATCTGCAATTGCCAAACCGCCTGCCAAGCGTGGAAACTATATAGCGAATACCCCCTGTGAGCCAATTTATGGAGGAGTGTTATGTTCAGCAATAGATATTTGATATACTGAAATTTATGAACAAATGAAAGTGAATATAAGTTAGCAATTTGAACGATATAAAAGCAACAAGCTAATAAGCTTCGCGTGCTTGGGGGTAGTTTCTTGGAAAATTAAGATTGATAACGTGCTTGAGTTCTCTACACCTTCATTTTTATTATTTGCCAGAAATAAAACAATCTAGTATTTTTTATAACCCATATAAAATATTATGATATAATATATTATTTTACCGATAAGAGGAATGTAGGTCAGTCCCACATTCGATGAGTAATAATGAATTACATGTAATGTAATAATGAATTGCATGTAATAATGAATTACAACCCATCAGCAGTGTACTTGTAATGGGCTGTAATTCATTATTACATGATGATCATGATATTGTTTTAAAGATATGTTGAGAAAACTTAAATCGTAGGAAATACGGAGAAAGTAAGTGACAAAAGATTTTCATCCGAAATGATTTATTTGTAAAGAAATAAATATCATGCCAGTCAACTTTCTTTATAAAAAAAAGCATGACCAGTGAATACATACGAGTAGTAAAAAATATAATTGCAGGTGAGTGGGCACTCCCGCTCATAGACACCTACATCTGACATCGATTAAGCATCAAAATGTATATGCGTTTTGCCCTTCAGTACGAGTAAAGTAAAGTAAAGTTACAGCCTATATACGTCCCACTGCTGGGCTCAGGCCTCCCCTCATTTCTGAGAGGGTTTTAGGGCAAGGAAGTGTCCGCCGCGCTGCCCAAATGCGTTTTGACGAACTTCACATGTCTTCGAAATATTTTTTTTTATTCCTCAGACATGCAGGTTTCCTCACGATGTTTTCCTTCACCGCCGAGCACGTGGTAAATCAGCACTTAAAATTGCAATTAACAATTTCATTGGTGCCGGCGGGGATCGAACCCGGGTTACTCGCGTTCTGTTATATTTACAGCGAGCGTTAACCACTGAGCTACCACGGCTCTCGCTTCAGTACGAGTATTAAAGTGTATTGATCTAATTTGTTAATTTATACGTCACGTAGTAGAGCCACGCTGCAGCTTGTTATGCTTGTACTTGTAGTACGAATGAATTGCATTCATGTGTGGTCGACTTTGAGATTCGACATGTGCATGCACACTGTCACACTGTTCATGTACATGTCGAACCACATCCAAAAGTCTACCGCTCAACAGTGACAACACATCTGCATTTTGTTTCTTAATCGAGGATAAATGTAGATGTATATTGGCCACAAAATCCACTTACCATCAGGTGGACTGTGTGCTCGTTGATCACCCTTTTTCTATACAAAAACTCTTAAATAAATACAAATCAACCGGCAATATATTCAACCCAAAAATTCAAAATTACAAAATGATCGGTACTCGATATATACTTTTACCTAACTTTTTCCTACTATTTTCAGTAAATTTATTATACAGGGTTATGTTTCAAAATTGATATACCGTTACTGCAGTTTTTAAAAATACGAGTGAATAAGGTCTACTTTCTAAGGTTCTACTTTTATTTGAAATTATCCCAAATTGAATGTCATTTATGGGCAACAACGTTTTTGGCTACCGATCGACCCTTACGAATGTGTAAGTGCGCAATAAAATCATTAAAAATAATGCATTACCACGAACGTTGAATTTAAAAGATAAAAAAGGAAAAAATGTTTGAGGTTTTTTATTACTTATTCCGAACACTCTCTGCAAATTGAGCCAGTTATTTAAAAATAACCTTGTATAAATAAGTACATACATATTAATTTTTTAACTGTCTGTAATTTAAATTTCATTAGAATGAGGGATTCATTTCCACAGTTATTTAAATGTTTTGTAGATATGGTGATCAGCGGGATACGTTAATGAAAATTTTAGTTTCAGGCCGGTCCGTTGTCGGAGACTGACATGATATATTCAGCACTTAGGGACAGGGAGCCTGCTTACATTATTTAGTAAAATACGAGTCCAAGGACGACGAGGTTACTTTTTGGGCACTACAGTATAGCTACTAAAATTAACACATTATTTGGATCAATGTGAAGTGTTCGCGTAAATATAAGAAATCATTACATTATTTGTAACTGTACGAGAGGACATATGTGTGCAGATGAGTCTCTATTATCTTCAACAGTAAGCTTATGAAGGATTATAATGATGATGAAGATGATGATGGTGATGACCTATTTGTTAATGTTACAAGGTAAACAATGCTTTTTCTTCAAATATTAACCTTACATGTACGTGGTGCATCGGCTGACTAACAGACGAGGCTGTGTGAACCCTTAGATTATTTACTCTCTAGATAGAGTAACGGCGGCTCAAAAGCGTCGAAAAAAATATCAGCTAACTGTTAGCCTCTAAAGCAATCCCCACTCCTCATTGTCAATTGTAACGCCAAGAGATACGCATGCACGGCTCATTGTTTTGAGGGAAATTATTATGGTAAAAATGACAAGTTGCGCGATCAAAATCTGCAGAAATTACAAAGGACGTTTACAAACAATTAACAAAATCTCCTACCATCGGTAAGTAACTCAAAACTAATAGTAATTTACGAAAACAAAACTAATAAATTGATAATTATATTTACAAAATCAACGCGTCATTTTTTGGTGTTGCCAGTCTTGGATTGCGAATTTCCCCATATAGTTGTCTTAAGAGCTGATGTATGTTCATTTTTACCGACTTCATCATAAGGAGGAAATAAATCATGTTGCGTGTATGTATGTGTATGTGGGTACATTTCAAAAATTGTTTGACTGAGCCTACAGCCTAAATGGATGGACCGATTGTTTTTGTTTTGCAAGATTCCGCGCATTCGGGTGTTTTTATTTAGTCTTAAACATTTTTTCTTTATTTTTTCTCTTTTTTATTTGTATTACTAAATAGTATTTTATAATAATTATCAAAATCGAATGTGACTATTTGGATACATGGTTTTAGGATACCTATCGATCCTATAATTAGAAGTCGATGGGTGGACATAATAAGAAAAAGCCGTGGAGAAGAGTTCTGGAAACCATCCAAAACCACAGTGATATGTTCTGAACATTTCCGTGAAAAAGACTTGTATTTTGCAAATAATCAAGGCCGGCGAAGATTGAAAAAGGAAGCGGTACCGAAAAAAGTATGTTTTATTACGTACAAGCTGATGAAGACTATTATGATGATTTACATATTTAACATTCTATTTTGACTACAGGCATTATTCTTATCATCAGTGAAATCTGACGAAAGTGATATCACTGATGAAGACGTTGAAATGACGATGGAATATAACACTGAAAAACAAAAGCCCATGAATTTGGTAAGTTTTTGTTATGATACCTACAGCAAATAATAAGGGAGCGTTATGCTAATCTGATTCATGTACAGGTAACGTTAATTTAACATTAATCCATAACAGTAACTATTCTTAGAAAATATTATTCCATTAAATATAATATTTTCTTTACTTGTTTATGCGCTCTTTAAAATCCGGAGAATTACTACTTTATTATCCAGAGTAGCATTTTATATCGTTTTACTATTACTACTGCTACTATCGCTTCTTAAAGATCACAATATCGAAGCTATATACCTACTTCACTTTTGATTTCAGAATACTCCCGCATCAAATGAAGAGCCTAAAACTTCCTCCTCTATAGCATGCACCAATGTAGTGTGCACTGATACTTCGTCTCCTTCTATAAGTCGCGTAGCTCATAAAGTTTTGGCTAATAAAACAGCGAAATCTGAAAATGATATTGAAATAAATGAAGAGTTTTCAGATATAGATTCTATTTTTGACACTCCTAAAAAAGCAAAGTTGAGAAGAGAATTACGCAGAAAAATTCGTATCCAAAAGAAACATTCTCTAAAAATGCAATCGCTTAGAAGAAAAAATCTACGACTTAAGAAGAAACTTGCAACTTTCAAAGATATTCTTATTACGTTAAAAAAAGAGAGATACATAGACAATGATACGCATAACGTTCTAGATAGTAACGTATTTGCTGCTGACTTATATGCTACAATGAAAAAAAGTTACAAAAAAAATCTAAGAGACCTGTATATAAATATGCACCAGAATTTAGAAAATTTTGTTTAACTTTACATTTTCTGTCACCAAATGCGTATAGATTCGTCAGGAGTAAATTTGAAACATGCCTTCCTCACCCGAAAACTATATCGAAATGGTATGCAAATAGCGATGGTTCTCCAGGGTTTACAGAAGATTCGTTCAAAATTTTGGATGCTAAAAGAAAACAATCCGATAAAAATATGATTTGCGCATTAATAGCGGATGAAATGGCAATTAGACAGCAGAAGTGTTTTAATGAAAACTAAACAGGATGATGGTATTGTTGATATAGGCACTGGTCCTAACGAAAATATGAGAATCAAAGCATCAGAGGCTTATGTTTTTTTGTTAGTATCATTAAATGAGCCTTGGAAATTACCAGTCGCTTATTTTTTAGTCCATGGAATGACGGGAGACCAAAAAGCAAATATTATAAAAACTATACTTACCAAATGTCACGAAGTAGGTGTTGATATTGTATCATTAACTTTTGATGGTCACTCCTCAAATATGTCGGCTATGAAGATCCTGGGTTGCGAATTGAATGACCATAGACGGCTGAAAACCACATTTCAACACCCATGCGCTGACTATAAAGTAGCAGTGTTTTTGAATTTCTGCCATATGCTGAAATTAATTCGAAATCATTTTCAATTGAAGGAAATCTTTTTGTACAAGAATGAGCAAATAATGTGGGAATATGTCAAAAAATTATCAAATCTCCAAGAAGAAATTGGGTTTCATCTAGCGAATCGCTTGACTAAAAAACATATCGAATTCCGAAATTCTATAATGAATGTCAAATTGGCAACACAATTATTGAGCAGGAGTGTTTCTAAGGCAATACAATTTTGTCGACAAGAGCTGAAATTGTCTGGTTTTGAAGACAGCGAGGCGACAGAAAAATTCATAATGGCAATGAACAACGTTTTTGATGTTTTTAATTCCAGAAACTTACAAGCATATGGCTAAACAGCCCTTGAGTCCAAAAAATAAAGATGAGTTATTTACAGTACTGGAAGAAGTAAATGATTTAATTTTGAACCTATATTTGAAAGTCTCGAGAAAAAGAACTTGCACATAACATGAAACAAAAAAGATAATAACTCTGAAGAGCTACACACCTGTACTGAAATCGAACTCTTTCATCGGATTTCTTGGAGTTCTAATTTGTATTAATAGTTTAAAAGCGTTATATACAACTGTAATAGACATATCGCATCAGCCAACACCACATCGAATTATTTTTTGGAGCGATACGTATGCATGGTGGTTATAACGATAATCCAAATGCCCGACAATTGAAAGGTATATACAGAAAACTTTTGTGTCACATGGAGCTTAAATCTGCTGGTTCAGGAAATTGTGTGCCGCTAGAGAACATAAGTGTTTTGACGTGCTCTTCGGCACTCAAATGTATTAATTTAACTACTCCAGCAACAAGAAAAAGATGATGAAGATGAGAGTGAAACGGCAGAAGAAAATATTTTGGATGAAAACGGAGGAAATGTATCTCGATTTTTAGATGATTCTTCATTATCTGAATATACACAACAGATAGTTGGTTACATTTCAGGTTTGTTGTGAGATGTCTGCGTAGACAAATCAAATGTACTGCATGCATTGAATGTTTGTTTTCAAATGAAAAGCATGAATACCATAAGCTAGTTAGCGCACGGGATGAAGGCGGGTTGATTTATGCTTCAAGGGATGTATATTCTATATGTAAGACTTCGGAGACAGTAATCCGAAAGTTTCTTAGACAACATTTTATAATGACTAGGTCAACTTACACAAACATTTTATCTTGTATATTAAAACAATTTATTGGTCATAAAAATATTTATTTTAAAGTTGAAACTGAACATGCGTGTGGTTCTCTTCACCAAGTGAACCTAATAAGACTGGTCGCCGAAAAATATTTGACCATACGCTGCTATCATATAGCTAAATTAGATAATGTAAAAAGTGATGCAACCTCAAAACGCAAATTATTTAAAAAACTAATTCAAAGAGAGGGCCATTAAATTAGTAATTACAAACATTTAATTGTAAATAATGATAAGTTGAAAATAGAAGAGACTACTGTGTTCCTCGGGGTGACCTTAGATGAAAAGCTTCAATGGGACACCCATATATCAGCTCTTGCTGGCACAACAATGCAGGACGGAATAATTCTTCTTAAAAGGATCTACTAAACTGTAGAAACGCTATGGGATAAAATTTTACGGTAAGGGTACCTGCGGGATAAATTATTTAACTATGATGCAGGCGAAGCCGCCGGCCAACCTCTAGTATTTTTATAAGTCGATACTATATATTAAATAATAAAACATATTTTGTAAATGCGTAATTGATTTTTATTTGATTATATTTTTCTTTACAAAGAAAATTAGATTCTAACTCAACAGACAAGTAAACACACAATTGAAAGCACCATATTAAAAATATTATAATTTATGATCTTATTAAAATGACAATTTTACAGTTTTTCCCCATTTTATCGGGTTACATTCATTAGGTGGTATCTCCCAGATACAAATGACGCTGGTGTAAGTCATAGTTATTTATTCCGTCACCATAGCAACTGCTAAGCGTGTGTGCGTGCTTCACGCACACACGCTTGTAAAAACTGGCCTGTTTTTGTTGCATCGCTCATTGCGTGATGCGTTATCTAGAGAGTAAATAATCTAAGTGTGAACCAAGTGATAGCGGCAAACCCATTTAAAACCGCTTAGCCAACTCACAGGTTTGTGCACAGCCAGTGCGAAGGCCACCTGCTCTGCGAGGTGTAGGCAAACCTTCCAAAAAAGTTTGCCTGCGCCTTCTAGGAAGAACCTTTATTCGCTGTAAACTCTTAAAAGGTATAAAAGTAAAAGTTTGTAAAATAAAAAGTTATATGAATAAAAATCTTGTGATCGTTCTTATTACCACTCTTCCTTCAAAGAAACTCCAGAGAGACCGCGCGGAAACTAAGGTATCACTTTGTCCTTTGTAAACAAGTTAGTTAACGTAAACACGCTACGTTAAATAAATATTGGCCTTTGGTTTCTTATTATTATACTCGTAAGCTCGTAACTAAGAAAAACACTACTTTTACAAAGTAGTTGGTTTATCTTATTCCAAACATTGCGGTAATACCTAAACCTAATGGAAAAGTTTTTTATTATGATTTTTGGCTTGGGTGCTTGTCCTTTAAGCCAGGTCTTCAGTTCATCCGGGATTTTCGTTTTTATAGCTTTTTTGTTCACAATATGCTGATGCATCACATTGTGAAGTTGGGATATTTCGACGACAGCTGAACCCAGTTACTGAAGATCATAAGGCGCTTAAGTGCACAAAATAACTTAAGGTTTATAATCAACGTCGAAGCACTTGTTTCGTCGTTTCATCTAATTTCACATGCGCAGATACGATATACGATATACGATATATACGATATACAAAATCGTATCACTTTCACGTGTCAAAATTCGGGCGTACGTCAAATGGCTTAGCAAGATCCTCTGTTATGCCGAAAATACTGCAGCATTGTTTTTGAAATAAATATATGGTAAAGTTGAGGATTAATGTTAAGTACTTTCGATTTCCTCCAAGCCGAACTATAAACCACTGGTATTAAAAAAATACTTCAAATTAAATCATGAAACTTTGCATACTAACTGAACTAACTGTAAAGCAGGGCTTATGTTATTTACTTTTTTAATTATTATTATTTTCAACGTAAAAGGAAATTAGCTAAACTATTTTTGTTTCCTGCCGCCCAACACCGCCGTTCACTCTTCACCTCTTCAGACTCTGGCTTTGGCCTTTGAACGGAGCGGCTGTGTCGCTTGTGCTCAAAACACACATTACGCAACAGGACGACGTAAAATTAAAATATGGACGCGTTTACAATATTGATAGGTATAGAATCGAACTACTACCAGGCCTCTATCACTCTTGCTACCTACGTGAAATAATTAGGAAAAATCGCGACGCGCCCGGGCGAAATAACGCAGTCAGGGCTAGTGCGTTGGAGGCGATTGAATGAAGTTTTTTAACGCTGTTAACGTATATAACTTTTTGTAAATATTGTTGAAATAGTTTTTGTTTAGTGTTTAGTATATTTAATTATAGGATAAAGTAGTTCAAAAGTTTTAATGTAATTTAAGAACTATATATTATGTATATTACCCATTATTTAATAAATTTTAATATGGCAAAACGTCGTTCCTACTATAATTATTGCGTGGATAAACGCTAAATGAACAACAAAATATTTCAGATATATCATTCTTTATTACCGAAGAATTTTAGTAGGAGGTTATGAAACGTGAATTTATTTAATTTTTATTGTCAGATAGGTACTTATAGCAAAAAAGAATTAAGTTATAATTTATTTAATATCTACAAACTATATTACAAAATTTAGTAGAAATTTACTTCACTATCTAATATTATATTTAATACTGGTGGATTGATTTTTGTCCATATTCTTGACCCAGGGTGCGTCGGATATATGAAGATTAGTAGTTATGCCGGGAGGCTGTGGTAGCAATATTCACGATAATATTTAATAAAGTTAATGTAAGCCTTTACCTTTTGCATAATTACTTATCCAAATTAAAATTTGATCTCAAATTTACTTTTCAATATTCCTAAAAAGTAGAGAGAAGTGCCTTTTAATCTATTAGTTAATATTATAAAGCTTTAATAAATAGTTAACTAATTAACTTCAGTTAATATTCAGATACATTAAGGGCTGATTTTATATAAGTCAGATACAAGTTATCCATCAAATTTATTATAACCTGACAGATTATAAACGTAAAACAAATGAACTATTTTATTTATTTCGATGCGATTTTTAATTTTATTTTTAATTTTATTCTACAAACAACTTTTATTTGATGAAGAATGAAAGATAATAAAAACATAAACATAACAAACACAAACACTCACGCCTGTCACCCAGAGGGGTAGGCAGAGACTACAGACTTCCATTTAGCACGATCCTGACATACCTTTCTCGCCTCTTCCACATC